CTAGTGTTTCCTAGACTTGGCGGCTCCTGGGAGAGCAGAACCATCAGCATTTCTCCAGCTGCTGGTCTCAAGCCCTGTGGGCGGCAGAGACCTGTAATAAGATCACCATCTAAGCCAGTTACAGTCAGCACATCATTCAAAGTGGTCCCTTGAGGTTGGGAGGGGAGAATCAACGGAAATAGGAGTCCCGGCTCTAGAGAGCACAGGCTCACACAAAACCACACAGTGAGTTGGAACCCGGAGAAAAATAGACTTCTCATGCTGGATGTTAGCCATTAGAGAGATTTGGCTGTGGTTCACACTGGGATTCCACAGGGCTGGGTGGCCTAGGGGAAGAAATAAGGCATTTGTCGGAAGAAATAAGAGTAGAAATTAAAAGGAAATTGAATATGAGTGGGTAAATGTTTAAACAGTAAATATTAGGAATGTTTAAGGATTCCAGTTTTCCACTGTGGAACACCAGAGGGTGAGACTTAGTGAGATGTCTCCGTAGCCCTCGCTCACCACTAGCCCAGAGCTTTGAAGCAGAAGGAAGATAGGAGTGGGCAAATGTGACAGCTTTGGTGCAAAGAGTGGAACTACAGAAGAAAAGGCTCAAAAGCCAGAATAGTGACCCACACTTCCTGATTAATTCAAGTTCCCTCCCACTAAGAGACCAATGAAAACCGGATATATGGCAACTTTCTTCCTGGATTCTCTTCGGGGGCAAACTTCAGCCTTCTGATCCCACCACCATGAGGCCAACAGGCTTTCTGGGGGTGCTTTCCATGGTGCCAGAGGAGAGTAAAAAGAGCCAGGTCACCTTGAGTAAGGCACTTACTCTCTAAACCCTAGGCCTCAGTTTTTGCATAGGAAAAATGAGGTCATGGTAATGTTCATTTTCTTAAGTTGGTTAATAGGTACACATGTGTATTATCCTTTATACATATAGAGAGTTTATTTTGTGAATATAAAAATATTTTCTGGACATTAATTAGTAATTAATAATTAGTAATTAGGGGATTAAATTTAGTAATCTCAGTTCCTTTCAAACTCTAAAAATCTAGTATGCTCTCACACAGCCTTTGTTTAATGTCACTGAAGTACTAGTTCAAGGTGAGATTATGGGGAGTTGCAGAGTATGTAGGAGAAGAGCACTGGCTTTGGAGTCACACATGGGTCTGAATCCCAGTTCTTTGATGACCTTAGATAAATTATTTAGATAAGTTTCCTACTGAAAAATTTTGGGTATTAATAGCTACCCCATAATAGAAATCATGAGTCTATATAAAGCATCTGCTATGCTTGACAAATGATAAGTGCTTAATAAATTTTAATCACTATTGATGGAAGGTGTAGTAATTAAAAGATAATTCATGTTTTTAAACTAGCTGGGAAGAGTTCTGTAGGTCAGGTGGAAATTAAACTAAACTTTCAAATGAGCAGTAGGTTAGAATGTGACACTCATCATGTACTGCTAAACAAACATTTATGGACTGAAATCCTAGATGTGCATGGGAAAACATGTCATGAGCCCTGTTCTCCAGGAGTTCAGAGTCCAGTGRGGAAGACCCACCCCAATCAAATCACCTTCATGTAATTCTACACTTGTGAGTGCTGTAAGTGAGGTAAGCACAAGGTATTGTGGAAGCAGCTCTCCACTGGATGGCTTAAAGGAAAAATTCAGACCAAAAGCAGAACAGCTAGAGGTTGTTATATTCAGTGCCTGTTCCATGGCAGAGACTCAAACTATTGAAGATCTAAGGAGCTGGTTAAATGAAAGGTGGAGGGAAGGCATTTCAGAGGAAGGGAGCACATGGGTAGCCCACAGCAGTAAAAGAGGTGGCAAATAGCAAGGTGGCAAATAGTAATTTAGAATCATTCTGAGCCCAGTGGGTGTGTGGTATGGAAAAGTTGTGAGAGATGAGGTGAGAAAGACAGGCAGAGTACTTGGGGGCTTTACACACACTGAGCAGCTTGCCAGGGGAACCACGTGGACCCCAAAACTTGCAGTGGTAACTCAACAGCTGGAGCAGGGACAACTGGATACTCAAATGTCCAAACACAAAATGTCATATGGTCCAGCAATTTCACTGCTACTTATATACTCAAAGAATTGAAGGCAAGGACTCCAATAGACACTTGTATGCCAATGTTCATTGCAATGTTATTCACAGTAGCAGTAGTCAAGAGGTAAAAACCAGTGGCCATCAACGATAGATGAATAGACAAAATGTGGTGTGCAGACACACACACACACACACACACACACACACGTGAAACAAATGAAATTCTGATATATGCTACAGCATGAATGAACCTTGAAAACATTGTACTAAGTGCATAAGCCAGACATGAAAGGAAGATATGGTGTGGTTCCACTTCCATGAGACAGAGTAAGCAAACTCAGAAAGCAGATTTGAGGTTACCAGGGCCCAGTCAGGGGAGGAGGGCCATGGGGCCTTATTTATTGCTTAATAGTTATAAAGTTTCTGTTTTGGGTAATGAAAAAGCTCAGGAAATAGACAGAGGTGATGGTCACACGACATTGTGAGTTAATGTTACCAAACAGCATGCTTAAAAATGGTTAATCTCCCGATCTTCCCATCAGAGTCAGCGCCTTCCTTCTTTTTCCCTGTTTGTGAGCGATTGGGAGACAGCTGTAGCTACCAAGAGCATGAGCTAGGACAGAAAGGGCTGAGGGATGCGACACATTGTGAGCATGCACTGTCTAAGGATTAAGGGTATATGTGTGCCTGAAAGGGAGAGACAGCGTGTGTTTGATCAGCGGGTGGCAGAGATCCTCAAGAGGAGAGAGAACTGGAGCTGAGCAGCATGGGAGCCCATCACAGAGAGGACCAAAGGCAGGCTGTCAAGGGCAAGGGGCCAAAGAGAGTGAAGAAATGAAGACTAGGAGAGAGAGCTCATCAGTGAATGAAGGGGAAGAGTGACCAGGCCAGACCAATCAGGAGGGCAAGTGGGCAGGGGAAGGAAGGAGAGTGAGGAGGAGAGCAGGCTCCTGGGAGCAAAAGCACAGTGAGGTGAGGCACACTTAGGAGGACCAGCAAGGAGATAGCCACCAAGGCCAATGGGGAAAGGGAGGGTGTGAAAGGGTAGGGACAGGGGCAGCCCCAGGGGCCAAGGGAGCAAAAACCAGACAGACTGAGCCAAGAACAAGAGGAGAGAAGAGAGAAGGGAGAGGCGTGCTGGCCACAGCAGGAAGGACACATGGTCAGGGAGTCCAGGAAGTGCTATGTGCCTGAGGCCCCAAGTTGCTAGGTAAGTCTCACCCCACAGGGGAGCAGAGGCTGTCCTTACCTGTGCACTTTTTCTATAAAGGAATGCCTTGCTCTCTGTAGGATGCTGTCTTGTTTTTCAATGAGGATTGAGTACACACTGTCCACGATAGTGTCCCTAACTGCTGCAGAAGAAACAAAAAGGAGCTGCGGCTTGATCCCAGGCCTGGACAGCCTATCATCTTGATTTGCTGTGGCTGTTGCCCTGTTTTCCCATGTATTTCCTACAAGTACTTTAGTTGAGATTTCCTAGGGTGGGATGAGAAGCAGGAACTGAAACCCAATGCAGGTCAACATTTGGGGAAAGGAAGTGAGGCCTTGAACTGAGAAAGGACCTTGGGATTCAAAGGGGTATTCCATGTCTGGACAGAACTGTTGTTTACTGATTTCTTGCTCAGTGATCTTAAAATCCCAGTTGAGCCCCCTCTTGACAACTAGTTTTTCAGTTTCTGCAAGGTCATGAATTAACCCTGTTGTCATTCTCCACCCAGCCTAGTCTTCCCCCCCTAGAATGTAGATAAGGTGGATTTCCACAAAGCAGAGGACAGGAAACCCTTGTTGACTTTGCTGTGCATTGATTCCTGTGTCATCACCATCGTCATAAACATCCTTAACAAGTGAGTAGCCAGTGAAGTTCAAGGCAAAGGGAATTCATGGACAAGGGCCTTGCCCTGTGCAGTAAGAGTAGACATGGAAATGCTAGGGAAAACCTCTACTGAAAGGCCCAGGTCAGGAGCATGGTTTGCAGACGGGTTCACAACCTTGGAAGCCAAAAGCAACTTGCTGCCTGCCACGTAGATAAGAGTCCTGCCTTTCAGCCTTCACCCATATTTTTAAAACCCACAGTGAAACCCACCCTAGTCTGAAGAAAACAGCCTGATGAATGTCAACCCCCAAATTGAGCAGCACTAGGGAGATTCCAATAGGACATTAATGACTATTTTGATTGTAGAGCTTCACGCATGCTCTACCCCTGAGCTATATCACCAGCCTTTCAGTTTATTTTATTACCTCCTTATTTGCCTCTTTCTCTTATTCTGTTCTCTCCAAATTTTTAATCCTATTTCTTTCACCGTCTGGCTGTGTACATAATAAGCATGCTGATGTTCAGTTTCTCCATCCCAAAAAAGAAGAGGTTGACAGGGTGGAAGATGATCCCTAAGATAACTGCCAGGAGAACATGCAGAAATCCACCTCCTCTACACTAGTTTTACCTCCTCTGGCAGAAGAAACTTGTCATAGACTTTAACATCAGTCTGACCTAATTTCAAATCTCGACTAATGAACCAAGCATGGCCCTGTGCTTTTGGTGACAAGTGTGTCTCAAAACATTGGTTTACAAGTGGCTCCATGGCAGGCTGTTTGGAAAGGTGATGTGCATGTAGTCAAAGCTTGGTATCAGTAGCAGATTTGTCCCAGGACCCCTCATAGTCACCAAAATGTGCAGAAACTCAAGCCTCTTRTGTAAAATGGATAGTATTTGTATATATCTTACCCACATCCTCCCAGATACTTTAAGTCATCTCTAGATTATCTGTACTACTTAATACAATGAAAATTCTATGTAAATAATTGTTCTACTATATTATTTAGGGAAAAAATAACAAGAAAAAAAGGTATTCAAAGCTGGTTGAACTCAAGGATGCATAACCATGGAGGGTCAACTGCATGCACATTCTCTGAAAGCATTTGTTAGATATTTTACTACTGCCTCTTCCCTCCTAGTGTCTGCCTGCTCTTCTGCTGTCTGTGTGCCCTGACTGTGCCACTCTGTAGGCCATGGAGAATGAGCTGCCAGTCCCGCACACATCTAGCAGTGCCAGTGTCACCAATAGTACCAGCGGGGCCAGTAGCAGCAGTGGCTGCAACAATAGCAGCAGTGGTGGCAGTGGACGCCCCCCGGGACCCCAGATTTCTGTATACAGTGGCATTCCTGACCGACAGACAGTGCAGGTAAGATTCTGATTGATCCAGGAATTGCATTCCTTAACCATCCGCAGGGTTAGCCAGGCAGAGGTGTAGGCATGATCTGCTGGAGTAACCTAGATGCCTCCCAGATGGGCAAAAGGGAGTAGGTTAGTAGATCTATATTTGTATATGGTTAGGGGAGTGGGAGAGGCGCAAGGAAATTTGGAAAGAGAGAGTACTTAGCAGATCATAAAAATCTCTTTCTTACCCAACAGTGTAGATCCCAGGGTGATATTTTAGGAGAATAGTGTGTAAAAGGGCAGACAGCTAAAAATAAGAAACAGCAAAAATGACTTAACTGCTCAGCCAAAATCCAAACCCATTATCCAAATGACCATTGACCTGTCAGGAACAAATAAGTGTCTCAAAGACAGAGGACCATAAAAGAAGCCCAAAGGAGTCTATTGTTCTTGAGCTTTTTTCTTTTTTCCCTGAAATTAACAAAATGTCATCCATGAGACCCCCAGATGATTACACAACGTTCCAAAATGCAGTCCTGGCCATGTGTTGCCACCTTCTGTGTGCCCAGCACTGTGGCAGCATTCTGCATGTTTATTTCTCCAGCTATGAGAATGGCTGTTATCAACACAGTCCTATAACTGCTGAAATGGAGGCTCTGAGAAGGCAGTAACTTGTCTAAGGCCATTCAGATAAAGAAAAAAAAATGAGCCTAAATCTGACCCCAAGCCCATGTTCTTAATCACAACAATATCTGTTTGAGGTTCCTAGATAATATAGGCAGAAGAGAGAGGCCACAGTTGAGAAATGTTTACTCTAAGTAATTTTGCTGTACTGAAGGAGTGACCTCATCCCATTTTGGCCCCAGGCCCAGATAAGGGAGTGGGGGAGAAGCCACAGCAGACAGTGAGAAGCCTGAGAAATTCGGCTAAAGAAGACACTAGTGGATGACCTGGACTGTCCCTCTCCTTGTTATCTCTGCCTCACACTTAATCTAACCATGTCTCCAGCTCCCACCCTGCTCCCTGCCTCTTCCCCTGCCCCTTCATGCATGAGTATCTGAGCTCTGGTATCCAGCATCTGGCATCAGGGATGTGCCCTCCTCCCACCACTCATCAGAACTCAAGGCAAGAGAGGCTCGGGGCTTCTGCTGTGGCAGCCTTGCATTTACACCCAGGCAGAGCCACTGAGAGCTCCTCCTGGCCCATCCACTGACACCCTCTGGTGAGGAAGAGTCAGAACCTCAGGTACTGCTGGCTGAACTGCTGAAAGGTCACTTTTAGGAGGTTAAGGAAAAAGAAGGGCCAATTTAAGGGGAAGAAGAGCAGATGATTCTGGGGACAACAGGGGGTTAAAAAGTAGAATCCAGATGAAGAGGAGAGTAGAGCGTACTAGGGAGAGAGGAGTCAGAGAAATATGTGCAAGAGTTGGGGTTAGGGTTTCTAGGGAGACACCAGAGCCCACGGAGGATCTGTGATATCAACCTGTTCTCAAGAACCCCAAGTCTGAGCCCAGAGCTTTCGCCCTTAGCAGGGCCTGGGGTCAGGAGCAGCCCTATAGCCAAGGATCCCACAGAATTGAGGGCAGGGAGTAGGCCAGAACCCAGGCAGCACTAGTGCTGGGTACCAGCTGGGAAGCAAAGGTAGGAGGGAGAATAATTGTCTCTGGGCCTCCTAAGAAGAAGACAGAGGGCCTGAAGCCTGCTGCGTAGCATCCAGCTCTCTTTGTTCCTGGGGGTGGGGGAGGATCAAACAATAGCCCTTTATCATTTCCTAGAGGCTGCTGTTCAATCAATCAGGAAGGAGGGAGTAAGCAGTAAGGCCACAGAATGGGAGAGAGTAGCTAAAAAGAGGGAGCAGAGGAGAAAAGAGGTGAGGGAGGGAAAGAAGAAAAGGGGAATGTGTCATTCCTGTGGCCCAGCTTGCTGCAAGGCCACCTTCTCAGGACTGATAGGATCCTTTGAGCATTGTGTGCCAAACCTGGGGAGTAGCACCCATTCAACCTTGTAGCCTCTGCAAAAGCAGTTGCCTTTGCATGAGTCTCCGTTTGGCTGCTTCTGCTGAACCTGGCCCCTCTGATTCAGCTCTTCTTCCCAGAACCTCTCTTCATTCTGCCTCATTTGCTTCACCTTCATCTGAGCTGCAGAGTGCTTGGGGGAGACAGTACCTGGCAAGCCTGGCATGGGAGGCTTCTGACTCTGGGAGAGCTGGTTAGAGCAGTGGTATGCTGCTACGACTCTCCTCACAACATTGATGCAGGAGCAGGCCCATCAGGGAGGAGCTGGAGACTAATCAAAATAGCCAAAATAGACAGAAAACTCTTCTAACAGATGTCTCTTGAGTCAGAGGCTCTGGAGAGGGCAGTGGGTTGTGGTGATGGTCACAGATCCTGGGGTTCCCCCAGCAGCTGAGGAGAGCTGGGTTGACAAGCCATGGCTGCAGTAGGGGTGTGCCATGCAGCCAGCTGACATCTCCAGCTCCCACTCTACCCGCCTCCCAGGTGATCCAGCAGGCCCTGCACAGGCAGCCCAGCACTGCGGCTCAGTACCTGCAACAGATGTACGCCGCCCAGCAGCAGCACCTCATGCTGCAGACAGCCGCCCTGCAGCAGCAGCACCTCAGCAGCGCCCAGCTCCAGAGCCTGGCGGCAGTACAGCAGGTAAGGAGCCTAGCAGCGGGGATGAGGCTCATGGGGTGTCCAGACTGTTAGAGCAAGAGGAAGAGGAAGTGGGTACTGCCAATGCCTCCCCTTTCTCCTCTTGCCAGTCCACAGAGTCCTAGTGAGGGCTTGCCATCATTTCTTTTTGGCAGACGAGGAACAGAGAGAGCCCAGCTAGTGAGTGGAGCAGCTGGAATTCTCACAGGTTGTCCCATAGAGAAGTGTTAGGAGAGCCACTTCCTCAACCACATCACTGTGCTGCTGGGAAAGGGACCATAACTCCAATGAGGCACTCACAGGAGAAGGGTGTGCCAGACTCACTTTCTGTCTGTTTCCCTCTGCTCCCAGTAGTTGAGAAGAATACGGTCACCCATTTATTCTTCCACTCATCTATCCACACATCCACCCATCCATCCATCCATCCACCTATCCATCATCCATCCGTCCATCCACCCACCCGCCCATCCATCCATCCACCCACCCATCTACCCACCCATCCGCCCATCCATCCATCACCCATCCACCCACCTACCCATCCATCCATCCATCTGAAAGAATGTTTTATGCAAAGTTCATGTCAGGTACCGGGTACGCTGTGGACCCTGTCTTCTTGGAGCTTGGAGTAGGGAGTTAGCAAGTATATAGGACCAAAATAGACAAGAAAAGAAGCTATTTAAATATCTCAGTTGTGGTATGATGCACTATGACAGAAAAGAACAGATACTGTCACTGAAGGACAAGGAAGATGACCCTATATTGGGTAGTCAGGGAAGGTCTGCCTAGTGGAATAACATCAAAACTGATGCTTGAAAGATGACAAAGAGGAGAGGCAGAGGGGAGCAGTTGATACGTGAGACAGAGTATCGACACTCTCCGCATGGCGCAGCGAGCTGCATGGGTGGGGAGGAGGCCTGGAGAGGGCAGCAGCAATGGCTGACAAAGTGCTTAGTGCCTGTGTTCTCTTGTTCAGTCCTCCCAGCAACCTTTCAGCTGGGTATGGTCATTATCACCCCCTACGAAAGGGGAGATTGGGCCCTTGCTCAAGGCCCATGATGGGGTTGGGCTCCCAGGGTTGCTGTCCTTACCACTGTTCCTGGAAGATGAGAGCTCAAAAATGACTGGGGTTGGGGTGTTGGGACACTAGTAGCAAGAGTCTGTTCTTTTCCAGGCGAGCCTAGTGGCCAGCAGACAAGGGAGCACTTCTGGCAGCAGTGCGTCTGCACAGGCCCCGGCCCAGTCACCTTCGGTGAGTAGAACTGGGGAGCAGCACACAGCACCCATAGCTCTGGATCAACTCCTTCCTTCTTACCTAAGATGCTCACGAGTTCCTGGACCCAGCGATCCTTAGTGAATCCTTAGCTGTGCAGGATCATATCTGGAGTCTGTTGCTYTTGCCAGGGAAATAAAAAGTGCATACTTCTCTCTAACCCTTATAACAATGCTCTGTCATCTTTCTGGTGTCAAGGCTCTGTTGCTAGCTCCTCCTTTGAATGCTGAGTCCTCCCTGAACCTCTGTACCTAGGCCAGAGATGGGGAAGTTCTAGGTGAAACTCCTTGACCCAAGGACCAGAGGTTCTAAAGGAGGCTACATAAACCAAGGAACAGAAGAGAGGGAGAGCAAGAAATGAATGAGGGGACACAGCTCATCTCAAGCCTCCTGTACCCTACTGCACGTGTCTCTTTCGTCAGATCAATCTGGCAGCCTCCCCAGCAGCAGCCCAGCTCATCAACCGGGCTCAGAGTGTCAACTCGGCCACAGCCTCAGGCCTTGCCCAGCAGGCCGTGCTCCTGGGCAACACATCTTCTCCAGCCCTCACCRCCAGCCAAGCACAGATGTATCTCAGGGCACAGATGGTGAGTACCCCTGGCTTGAGCCATAGATTTGGGGCCAGGAAGACACAGGCTGAGAGTTTGGGAGCTGGAAGACTAGAAAAATGAGGAGACAAGAAAAGGGGGAAGAAGTACTGTGGGAAAAGGGGCAAGAGGAAGGGGGTAGAAAGAAAAGGGTGGACCTGGAAGGCTGAGTGGGAATGTGGTGTAGACTCCATGACTCAAGGAAGGGTGGGGTTCCAGGCTGAGAAGAAGTTACCCATAATACTTCCCTTCCCTGTCCTACAGCAAATAAAATCATCTCCTTATCAGAAACTGTTCCTGAGAACTAATTAGGGTAGAGTGTGCAGGGGCCCATGCCCAGCCGATCCTCCACACTCAGACTTAAGATGAGCATACACACAGGTACTTTCCCAAAATGGAATCTTCCCCTACTCTGACAGTTCTTGCATAGACTGACCACCTCTAGCTCAGGGGCCAAAGGTACACTGGAGAGCAGAGAGGTGCAGCTTTAGGGCCTGATGCTTACTGCTGCTGCCCCCACTGCCCTCCCATACCCCCCATTCTAATCAGGTTCCCATGAACTTGTTTGGGCAGGATACTCCCAGGCTATCGCCAGCACACATAAAAGCTCTCCTTGGCACCTGTCCCTAAGGGGTCCATTAGAAACCTGATGGGCTTCTAAGATTCCAGAGAATTCCCTGGGACAATGAAAGCATTCTCCCTAGCAGGCAGTAACTAACATACGGCCTGTGTTGAGCTCCCATCTGAGTTATACCTCACATTTCCCATGCTGAAGAGTTTTCTCATCAGCCCCTTGGCACACCATCCTGAGAATAGTGCAGTCCTGCCCCTCCCTTTGCTCTTATGGCCAGAACTTGGCAGTTGGAGTTTTTTAGTCTTGCTACCATACGCCTGTCCTGGGCTCTGAGTTCCTCATTTGAGGTTCATCCCCATTCTCCAGCAAGGCCTCTTAGACACACAACATCAAATTGACTTTCACTTCCCTAGCAAACTGACAGCCACACATTGATACCTCCCAAACCTGCCCTTGCCTCCACTTCACTCACCCCCATGTCCCACTCAGTGCCCCCACTAGGACCCCGATGCCTTCCTGCTGCTCTCCAAAAGCAGGACATACACATATAGAGGAGTGAGCCTGGAAGCGTGGCCACGGAGCTGAGGGGAAAGCCCTGACAGCACCGCAGCCTGTCCACACTGGTGCAGTCTAGACCCACATGGGGCAAGGTGCCAGCTGGGAATGGCAAGTAACCTGTGCCCTTCCAGATGAGATTCAGACACCAGTACAGCTCCAGGTTGTCTACTTCCTCTGCTATTGCTGCTCCTAGGCCCCTTCCTCCAAATTTGACTTAAAAATGACCAAAAGTATATGTCTGATTTGATCCCTTCTGGAGGAGAATTTTGATCTGATTCAGCCGTTGGGTTAGGGTTGAATTAGACCCAGAAAATAGTCCTTGGGCACCTGTCTGAGGTCCCTGTTGGCCAGGATGCTGAGGAGACAGTGAGTTCAGGGTGTCCACCCCACCCACCCACCTAGAATGAGCCCCTCACGGTGTTCTGAAGTCCCAGAGCAGCTCTCCTGCTCCATCCTGTCACTGCCCAGCATGGGTCAGCACACTACAAGCCTCTTGAAACTTTCAGGTGGTCCTTGGGACCCCTGCCCTTACCTGCTTCCTTATTTCCACTTCCTAGCCAACCCCATCTCTGCTCCCTGGCTACAGTGTTCTGCCCTGTGGCTGAACCCACATGGGGCAGGTAAAAGGCGCCTCGTTTCCTGTGATTCCAGGCCCAGCCAGGTAACCTGGTGCAGGTAGCTAGGAGCCTAGGCGGCACTGTTCCTTTGTCCCCTCAGCTCATCTTCACGCCCACGGCCACCGTCGCTACTGTGCAGCCTGAGCTCGGCACTGGCTCCCCCGCCCGGCCCCCCACCCCCGCCCAGGTGAGGATCCCATGTTTGTGGGAGGGCAGGGGGGTGGGCAGCACTTTACAGGGGTAGGACACTGGGGATGGGCAGCCCTGGAGGAGCTCTGAGTCTTTGGAAAGGCTGGACTCTTCTAGGGAAGCAAGTGGAGACCCAATGGCCCACTGCTCCCAGACCAGCTCTTCAGTTCCTGTCTAGATGGCCTCGGCCCCTCTTGACTGCTTTTCCCTCAAGTACAGTTAGGGTTCAGAGGGCAGCATGCTGAGGGTTTAATACCCCCACAACACTCCTCGGGATAACTTGCTTATTGCTGCTTTGCAAGGGGAAAATCCCACTCTGATTACATGTGCCAGCTCTGCCAGGATTCAGGGGAAATGGCACTGAGAGGGAGGAGATGAGTCCTGGGTTCCTGCTTTCTGCTGGCAGCACATGGATATTCTTATGGCAGTGAAGATTCTAGGAGCTGCTGGGGAAGGAGGAGTCCTTCCAGCTCCCATCTCTCTACCCCATCTCCAGAATGGGGATGGGAGCCTAGGCTTGGGTAGCAGTTATCAAAGTCTGGCACAGCTTCCATGTATCCAGCAGAGGGCGCCAGGAACCAGGCTGAGTAAACATGCTGCCCGTTTCTGCAAAGGCCTGGAGTTCACTTTATTTTGAGGACAAGATAATGCTTTGTTTAGTGGCTTTCCTGGCCAGTTAACTTTCATTTTTGCCCTGGCCTTTTCCAGCGTGGGAAGCCCCATGCTCACTATATCTGGGAATTATTTCCAGTGGTATGCATCCAACCCTGTTAGTTTGGGGAGGAGGGAGGCTAACTGSGGGAAGAGCCTGGCCTCCCTGACCCCACCTGCCCCAGCTTGGGGAGCAGTCGCTTCTGAGAACTCAGTTACTTTTGCTGGTGGATCCAGTCGGTAGTGACCTTTCTTATTCTTTCTAGAATTTCACTTGCTTCTGGTTCCTCTTTCAGCCCTAACTCATTCTTTTTCTGTCTAATTTTATAACCCACTATCCTGTTCAGCCACTGCTGGATCCATCCCTAAGTCCTCTCTCTTGGTTGTGCTAGCATTTCTCCTGCCCACTTTCTCTGGACTCCCAAAGACCCCTCTTTTCCAGGTACAGAACCTGACCCTCCGAACACAGCAGACATCAGCTGCAGCAGCCTCGGGCCCTAACCCCACTCAGCCTGTCCTGCCCAGCTTGGCCCTGAAACCCACACCTGGCAGTAGCCAGCCTCTGCCTACCCCATCACAGGGCAGGAACACTGCTCAGGGTTCCCCTGCAGGTGCCAAGCCTGGCGTAACTGACAGTGTGGTGGAGCCACTCAAGAAAGGAGATGGCAATGGCAGCCTGCCAGGGAGCGTGGAGGGCCGGGCTGGGCTCAGCCGAACTGTTCCTGCTGTGGCTGCCCACCCCCTCATTGCACCAGGTAAGGGCTCCAGGAACAGAATCCAGACCAGGCTGTGAATCAGGAGGAATCTTTGAAACCTTCGTTTTCCCCATGGACCAGCTGTGTGTCTCTCTCCCCTCTTCCAATCTTGGGGTGTTCATCAGCTCCTGATTCTGTTTCAACTTTCTAGTTTGATTTCTGTTTCTAACTTTAAGAAAGGAAGCCAGATGTGTAGGAATAAATGAGTTCTTCACAATGGATCTTGGAGTACACTATCATATCTCTTAACCTTGAGTGGGCAGAGGTTGGCAGGTGGACTATTTTCAAATTCCCTGTGACTCAGTGAAAAGAATTGGGGCTAGCCAGAAGCGCGGAGGAGCCATGCAGGGAGTGGGGAGTAGAGCATTTGTCTTCTCATCATTCAGCAGATGTTTGTTTACTGGTGTTTGCCAGTCACATTGCCAATTCTGGGTGTACAGAGATCAATGAGAGCAAGAAGGGCACAGTGTAGGTGGGGAGACTGACAGGTACAGACAGGCTGTAAGCTCCAGCCACTGTAGGAGCAAGAGTGGGCCAGCCTTGTAGAGAGGAGCTGAGAAAGGCTTGCCAGTAAGGGTGACACTCGAGAATAGATCGAGGAGATTAAAAAAAGAAAAAAAAACCAGCATATTCTGCAAAGGGAATGAATCAGTGTTCCCTGGCTAGACTCCTTTCCCTGCTTGCTAAATGTTCCCAGCACTGCCTATTATAGGCAATCTTTAATGGGAAAAATCTGCCAACAGTCCTAGAAGCCAGACTTTATCAGTCTAGGGAAATAAATAGAGTGGCAGGCAATATGGCTTGGTATTAAAGAAAGACTCTGGTCATATACCTGAGAAAACCACTAACCCTCTGCCCTCATCCAGGCCATTTTACCATTCAATGTAACTTGCATATTTTTTATTGAAAACCTACTATTTGTTTACTCTAAATTAAAACCAAGATCATCTAAGCATGTGTGTGTGTGTGTGTGTGTGTGTGTGTGTGTGTGTGTACGCACATATACACACACAATTCTGGAGATTGAACTCAGGACCTCACATATGCTAGGCAAGCAGTATACCCCGGAGCCATATCCCAGCCATTTTTATTTTTTGAAACGGGGTCTCACTAAGTTGCTGAGAATGGCCTCAAACTTGTGATTCTCCTGCCTCAGCCTCCCTGGTATACCGCTGCATTACAGCTACTATGCCCAGCTCACAGTATGACTTCGTACCTAAAGGAGTGTGCAGCCAAAGGGAAGAAACCAGATATATAAACAAATCCATTCAATTTCATAATCCTATTAGGTACCATGGAGCACAAGATCACCTCACTGCCAGGCACAATGGTCAGAGGTGCCATCTCCTGAAAGCATGAGCAGTGACCCAGCAGATGAAGCGAGGAAAGGTATCCCAGGCAGACAGAGGGAAGCACAAGAGAGCATGACCCTGAGTTGGAAAAAACTGGGCTGAAATAATTTATTCATTTTTTGAGACTCCAGAAACCACCTGGGACAAAGGGCCAGTTGCTACCTCCAAGTGGCCACTGCCGAGTGAGGAAGACACTGCCCTGCTGAAGCGCCGTGGCTCCCAAAGTTTCTCAGTGGCTGACATAGCTTTCCCCAGAGACTCCAGCCTCTTCCTTTTATGGGAAAAGAAACTGAGGCTCAGAATGGTAAAACTCAAGGGGATCTTACAGTGTGCTGACAGCAGCTTGGATTCCAGCTAGAACTTGGAAGCTGCGTTTCTTCTACATTCTCACTCGACCCACAGACCCTTGAACAATACCAGGACTCAGGACTCCCTGAGAACCCCATTCCTGCCCAGTCCAACATATGGCTTCTCTCTAAACCTAAGCAAGCCCCCCAAAGTCTAACGACTTTTCAAAAGAAAGAGCAGTTCTTGGGGTCTTCCCCCTGCTAGACATCTCTGGGTTCTCAAGGAAATTAGATAGAAAGGGACCAGCATAAGGGAAAGTCCCTCACCTGTTAATCTGTTAGGCATTTAAATCTTCAAAAAAAAACAAACAAAAAAAAAAAAAACCTTAAGGTAGGTATATATCCATTTTATAGATAAGAAAACTGAGGCTCAGAAAAACTTAGTATATTCTAAGTTCTTAAGGTCACCTAAGTAGTAAATGGTAGAGTCAGCTTCTGTCCTTAATCAAGCCAGGTTGCCCCTTAGTTCTTAGATTGCTTTGGGGCCTTCTTGGCCTTGCCTGATCCTGACCCAAAGCTCAAAGAGTCTAGGCGTTCTAAGACTGTCTGGACTTTGCAGAGCTGGTGACAGGCTCGCTCTTCTTAAGCCCTGTAAGCATCAGTGAGAAACAGTCTTGTGATCCCATCCAGGAGCCTAGGTGTGGCTTGAGACTAACAGTGTGTGCCCRACACAGTACAGAGGCCAGCGGCCCCATGGCACTCTGCGTGGAGCAGCTGTGAACTGAGTGCTTACTACAAAGACCCTCTCCCCAGAGATGCAGATCAGTGGGCTTTGCCCTGCTCCTGCCTCCCACCGGCCTCTCCTATTCTGGCCACCCCTCCTCTCTACAAGCCCTTGGTTCCACTCCCCCTCTCTCACCTCCCAACGGAAGGCAGCTGGGGGAGGCTTAGGAAGCTTGGATCCTCTGAGGGCCTCCAGAACAAAAAGACTAAAATGATTCTTATGGCCTGCTGGGGACAGCGTGAAGCAGCACCTGCCTTGGGCTTCACAGTTCCCCAGGCAGAGGTGACTTTGGGCCTCCTACCCAGAGGACCCATGGTGAATGAGCCAAGGGAGGGAAAGAGCTGAGGGAAGAGTGTGCTGGTGCATGTGAGGCAGAGAGTGTGTTTTGTTTGCTATTTGAGCGTTTTGGGGGCAGCTAGCAGGCAGCCCCCAGGGAAAGTAGCCAGTGGAGACCCTGGGGGGCTGCATGTGTTCTCCTGGGTGTTTCCTCCCTGAGAGGCAAACTCTCCCTCCCAGCTGGGACTGCTCCCACTGACAGCTGTTTGGGGGCAAAGCTCCTCCCCCATGGCAAGCTCCCTGCTGTTCCTGCTCCTGTCACCTTGGCAACCAGCTTCTTTAGGCTCTGCAAATAGAAAAGGTCCCTTATGCCCTGAAAGGGGGCGGGGTGGGGGAGGGGAGTACAGGGAGGAAGGGAGCCTGAGGTTGCACTTTGAGGGGAAGGCAATGGTCTGGTCTTGCCCTTCTCAGTGATAGGAGGACTGGACCACAGAGGGCAGAAGAGGAGCAGGCAGCAAGGGTCTCATGGGCCTGACCTCCGGGGAAGCCGAGTCCTAAAGGAGTTGGGCCACAGCTCTAGCTTGGTTCTTGGAGTCCTCATTGTAGAGGATAAGCTCCAGGCTTTGGGTGCCCAAAGGTGAGGAGAAAGTTGCTGACCGGGAGGGGGATGCTGTGATAAAAGGGAGCTCTTGGGTCATTGAAAATCTGGGGTCCTTTTCACCCAGTCCTGCTTCCAGATGCCAGGCCTTTGTTCCATAGCCTCAACCCGCCTCAGGACACTGAAGAGAGAATTCTCTGTTGGGCAGGCCTGCCACATAGCTGCTTTGTTTAATCACAGAGGGTATTCTGTGTCAGGGTGCAGAGATTTCCATCTGTAATAGACTGGACAATGTGATGCTTGCTGATTTTTGGATTCTCGGGTACCACATTTCCCTTCCAAAGCAGCCACCAAACGATGGGGTAAACACACTTTTACTTACAGAATCCAGCTAACAGCAGTGCATGCAGGTGAGCCTGTTGTCTCTGGAAATCAAAATTCCCACCAATTCTAACAATAAAATCATGGAATTAGCCATGCAGGTCACTTCAACTATCTACTGTAGAATCACATTTAAATGATGAAGAATCTCTTCTTACTATTCAGAGGGAAAATCCAGAAGATATAGGTTAGCAGTAGAGGAGTTTTATATTTTGCTTAACATTATTCACTGCATATATATGTATGCATATTTGTGTGTGTGTGTATGAGAGAGACAGAGAGGAGAGAGAGCCCACTGTGATACACAAAGGGCCTTGGAATTGTTCAGCTTTCCTTCTTTCCTAAAATTCTTTACCTAAGGCTTCAATTATACTACTTCCCTGGTTGCTACCAGCTAATAATAATAATTTCTAGTTAGTGAACAACCATGCTCTAGGTATTGTACTAACTATTTACCTATCTATCTCATTTAATCATAACGGTGATCATTCCATTGCATAAATGAAGATCTAGTTCAGAAAGAATAATTAACTGCCATTCCCAAATGATTCTACTCTACCTCTTGTTCATTTAGCAACTATTATGTGCCAAACATCATTCTAACCACTACAGGAGTTACATAACTGAATAAGAGCTGAAATTTTAATAGGGGGTATGAAAATTTGGGTCATGCTTTTAAAAATGAGTCTGTTTCACGTGAAACAGAAGGAGGATTGTCTCAGCTGGCCCCAAGAAGCACCTGAACCCAAAGTGGCCACATACATACGTGACCATCTATGTGTGGAGGTAGGACCTGTCTTTGCCTTTTCCCTTGCCTGCTGCCATTAGCTGTGGGTCTCCTCAGTCCTGTGCCCCCTGTGTTTATTTTTAACTCTTAAAGGAACTTATCTGTTCCCACCCCTCAGATACCTGCCACCTGTCTGCCAATAGCTTCTCAATATGCATCCATCCCTGCTCTCATGCCCTCTCCCCAGAGATTTCCAGCTTTTCTAGGGTATTCCTACTTTGGTTTCATCCCACTTTATATTATATATTATATTCTTTTTTCCCTAAGAATTCATGAACAAAACAAAAACAAAACTCCTGAAGTCTTCCTCTATGGAGAGGTCCCTTTTCCCAGATTCCTGACCACTTTGCACAGCCCCAAGGTCTTCCTAAGCCCACTTCCCTTCACCAGGGAGGCAGAATGTTCTAGCAGGAAAAGCAGGGGCTTCAGCCTTAGACCTGGCTTCAGATCCCAGTTTCATCACTTACTGGTTTAATGATCAAGTTACTAAACCTCAGTTTCCTCATGTATAAAACATTTTCCATAGGCTATATCA